ACATACATCCTTAATGTACTACGCAACGACATACACATATACGAGAAAACCACAACGGTAAACATTTCAGTTTCGAATGATTTCTACAGAGATAGATACGCCTGTATTATAAATCGTAGCACTGATAGCACATGAAAACCACATTGAAATTACAAGGAAAACATAATGGCTTAATGATCAACCTAGATGCATTACTAGAGCAACCACAAGTAACTGGGATTAAACCGTTCTTAGTGATGTGAATCATCCGTCGCTTGTACCGTGACGTAGAGTGATTAGTTGTTCATAAAAACAAGATATTGTCAAAACATTTATTTATCAGGCGAAGCTTCTGGAGCTATTTATAATAAATGTTTTAATAACAAAAATGTATATATTGCCAAAAAATCAGTGTTTGGATTAAATCATTCACAAATCTTAATTAGATCTGTCTTTGGCGCTATTACATTTTGCAGAATGTTTACTATAGAATTATCGTTTATTTGTTAACTTTCTTTACCAAGGTAACAATTGCAGGTAGCTGTGCAATATCTGATAGACTAAATAAGTTTTGTAAGAATCCTGACTTGTCACTGGTAAGCATCCGTGAAGGTACACAAATATACTCTCGAAATCTTGAAACCTTTTTTTTCATTCTGTAGTCTATTTACATTCTATGAAGCACCAGTTATACTCATAAATCACGTTTTCAATAGGCTTTCGCTTCATGTAAGATTCAGTTTAATATCTCTTTCCTTTTGAGCTGTAATCTCTGAAGACAGTGTTTGGTAACTCCGCAGGTTTAAATTGCGACGAAAGCATTAAACGAAACAGACTGAGTTTTACTCACCATAACCATTCAGACCTAGATTTGACCCAGTCTGTCTCTCCCCTCTCAAACATTCACCACCATGAAAAAGGTGTCCACTTAATCTATAGTCTTCTTGTAACAAAGAAACCATTGATTTTACAACCCGAAGAATATAATCGAAACTACTAGGGACGCCAATACGTTACGGTCATCATACAATACATATGAATATAGAGTGAGAAAGATCTCAGTCTACAACTATAGACGGGCACGCAAACCTACGAAAAAACACTGACACCGATATATGGATAGCGATAAAAGAGGTGACATAAACTCTGCAAAAAATACAAAAAAACCAGGCAATAACAGAATCCATGAAAGTTAAATGAAATACACACTCAGATATAGTTGCGCTGACAAATTCACCAGGGTAAAGAGATATTACACTAACTAGGGCTTACGTGGGGTGATACATCTGTTAAGGTACAGATATAGTGCTACAACGCCAGGATATAAGTAACGTGATATACGCAAGATGTTATAGGTATCATCATATACCCATTAGGATATAGGTAACGTGTTATACCCCCTAGAGTATAGGTAGAGTGATATACCCAACAGGGTATAAATATAGTGATATGCCCAGTAGGTTATAGGTAGAGTGACATAGACAGTAGAGTATAAGTATAGTTATATATAACGAACAGGATATAGGCAGAGTGATATACCTATTGAGATGTAGTTATGTTGATATACCCGGTAGGGTAAAGGTGGAATGATATACTCATTAGAGTAAAGTTAGAGTGATATAGACAGAGGGCATAAGTAGCGCGATATACTTCGTAGGGTCTAAATATAATAATAGGTACGAAAATTTTTCGTACAGAGTTTTGTATGATCTTGTAGAGCCGCGCAAGATAATAATGTAAAATTGGATGTGAACCTACCCGTATCTAACGCTGATTGAAGTGTCTGATTTGTTGATCTCGATAGTGACGCCTGTAATCGGATGGAAGCTTGTCGGATCCTGTAGTGAGACCTAAGAGGCTCCGATAAGGTCCTTTCCCAGGCTAATCCCAATCGGATTCCGGGTCACACGATTCTGGTCTCAATCTGATAGAATCTGACTAGAAGAGATCGGGATTCGATCGATTCCGACACGGATCATTCATCAAATTTCTCGTCCTAGGGAGCAATAAAGTGTATAGATCTAAAGCAGTACAACGCTTTCATGCAGAAATCAAGACATAAATGGGATGATCAAGGACACAAAAATAAATACGGTTCGCTGTAGCTTATAAATCGAATTCCGCGAAGGGATCTCATTATTCAGTTCCATCATCGTAAGGTATTCTTACCGGTTTCTGGACCTGTTTCGGTCGTCTTACGTCTAATTATGGTTACCATTCGTGGAATAATCAGTTTCAAAGCTGTAATAAGACCTCCAATCAAACCGATCACTGTTGTTACAATGTAGATAACATCGTTTCTAGCTCTATCCGTGTAGTTGCACTCTGTTGGGCGACATTCTTTGAAATAACTTTCATACACTGCTGACCAGCCCCACGTCTCTACCATCAAATTTTCGAGCAGCTCATGTATAGTAGTGTTCTGACGAAATTGAGACGGCAATGATCCAGTTATTATGGTTCCATTAAACGATTCGTTCATGCCGACAAGGAATTGAAGTTCTTCAAAACATGTTTGATTATAAAAACATTGCAGATTTGATTGAAGAAGTGCGTCGAACACAAAACAGCCACTATACAACCCTTGAAGAGCATTGAATCTTATTTTGGTTGAATTGATAAAGAAAGAAGCAGGATCGATACAATACAAATCAATTATACATTTACAATTGTTGAAACCGACGCCTCCAATGAGTAGATTAATCGATTGCGGTATTTGTTGCAGAACAGCGTTGGTTTGAATAGTCGATAATAATATGTTTGAACGAGATATATCCTGCATCATTGACAATGAAAATAAAAACTCATTCGTTGTTAAACTTTGAAATTGAGCAAAAAGTGATTTGGATTTTGATTGAAATAGAGAAAATGGTGTCAACTCTATCGATACGTAATGACTAGCATTAAAGCAAGCGATACTATTTATGAGTGTGTTGTTGACTTGTCCGCACAACGAACTTAATGCTTGAAACATGAATGGACCGGTTTTTCTAAAATCGGAGCCTGGAACGTCCAGAAGTTTTCCATGGCGTTCAATATAATTTATCCAATGGTTTGTGACGAAGCTACTCGAGCACACTTGATGTAATGTGTAATTGACATGTAGGAATTTTTCATACTCGACAGTGGTCTTTGCACATTCGCAAATAAGCATTTGTGAGTATTTTGTGTACAGCTCTAAGTATTGAACTAGAGAAGGATTTTTGACAGTGATTGCCTTGGTGAAGCGAATTGTTGATGTGTAAACGACAAGAACCGATAACGACACGACAAAAAAGATAATGAACAAGTATGTTGAAATAATTTGACTTCTAAGTTTGTATGGATCGGTAGTTGATGGTATAGAAGGAAAAAAATTGAGATTGCGAAAATACTGCTGAACTTTGTTGGTATGTGTGCTTTTTGTCTGGTCATCAGAACCTATTTTTCAATAATAAAATTAAAACGAGTATCATTTGAGAAATCGGATGAAATTAATGTAAAAAATATATCTAATAAATATGAAACAATTGCACTTTAACTCAACTATCTTAATCGTACCATTCATAACAAAACTTTCTTTAAGAAACAAGCTGTGACGCATAGAAACTTTGGACAATAAGTAATAGTTGAAAAAAGAACACAAGTCGAAGTAGGTGAAAAGATAAGATTGACTATCTATGTATCGCTTATGAGTGATATATTCGACGTCCAGCGTACTGAATGAATTACAAATTGCGTTCGACAACAATGGTAATAAACACTTTTATAATTTATAAACAGTTCATTAATCATGGTTTTCATTCTATGGGACGACAACTATCAAACTTCGTACACGCTGCTCGCTCAAGTTTATGCACTACCTATTGCTTTTTTCATTAAAACCAATGGAGAATACACACTTAACAAGTGCCCATGAAATATTTTTGAAGATCTCTACTAAGTCATCGTGCCATATAGCTAGTGTTCTATGACATAACATAAATAATCAAACTAGCACTTACGATTTTCTTGACCTGGTTCGGTTTTCTTTCGTCTAATTAATCTAATGAACCGGGGCACAATGCATTGCAAAAATGAGATCAGACCTCCAATCAAACCCGTTAGTGTTGTTACAATGTAAATAGCATCATTTCTTGTTGTATATATATAGTGGCACTCAGTCGGATGACATCCATAGAAGTACTCATCATAAGTTACTGACCAGTTCCAAATTTCTACCATCAAGTTCTCAAGGAGTTCATTGATAGTGCTGTTCGGAAAAAATCGAGACGGCAATAATGTATCCATGACTGTGCCATTGAATTGATAGTTCTTGGACAAAAACGATCTAAGTTTATTCAAGCATGTTTGATTATAAAAACATTGTAAATTTGATTGAAGAAGTGCTTCAAAGATGTAACAACCAGCACGCATACCAGGGACAATATATAAGACTGCAGAGAAGTTGTCATTGTAAATACGTAATGGTGCAGTGCACATAGAAGTCGTATCACAAGAGCAATTATCGAATGTTGATGCAAGTCTGCTGTAGTGCGTCGTCCCAGGTTCAACGAAAAAATGTGCATTCGTTCCCCTATATGCGTAGTAACTATTAGCTTCGATGATTTTACGTACCATATACAATGACGATAAGAACTCATTTATCATCGAATTTCGATACTGCTTGACAAGCAGTTCAAAGTGTGACTGTAAGAAAACATTTGAAGCCAAATAGATTGATACGTATTGACTAGCATTGAATCGAGAAAGACCGCTTATAATTGTATCATTGACTTGTTTACACAATGATGCTAACGCTGTAAATATGAGTCCACCGTTTCTTCGAAAGTCTTTATCATCAGGGATAAAA